TCACTTATTAAACTGAAATAATATTTAAAAATCAATTAACTTTTTTTTATTTTTCAGTGGCCCTAATCCTCTTCCGTATTGACCAGCTTTCTGATAAAGCAAAAGAAAATTTTAAGCACTATGCTTAAAATAAGGGAATCTAAAAAGTTCTTATAGATGCATCACTTTCAAAATGAGAGACGCATGTGTTTATACATATGAACTATTGTGGTTTACAGCAAATGCAATCCTCAAATTCTTTTTTAAAATTAATTTAAAGGGATTTCAAAAAAGAAATATGATAGACTTAGACAAAATTTATAATCATTTTGTATACACAGATTATATACAAAACGAAATTTCATTTATAAAGCTTTCCGGCAGTGAATGAGCAGCAGCTTAGCAGTGAAAATATACTAGAGACATGGTGCAAAAGGGCATTGATGTGGACTATTCAGAGCAGTGCAAAAATAAATAAATATGTTGCAAAATGTAGTAGGACAGTGAGTTGAGTTCTATTTTGAAGATTTACCACATAGTGCAAATATGATGTTTACAAGTGTGCTATTAGAGTTTTCAACAGTTCAACAGTCTTATGGCAGCAGGAAGAAAGCTGTTGCAGAACCTGTTGGATCAGCAGCAGATGCTTCGAAGCCTCTTCCCAGAGGGCAGCAGGGAGAACAGTCCTTGGTGGTGGTGTGAGTGGTCAATGATGATGTTACAGGCTCGGGACACGCAGTGCCGGGAGGAAATGTCTTTAATGTAGGGAAGAGGAGCCCCGACGATCCTCTCTGCTGTTCTCACCACTCTTCTCATGTTTTTCCAGTCTGAGGCGCTGCAGCCTCCACACCACACAGTGAGACAGCTGGTCATAATGCTCTCTATGGTGCTTCTGCAGAAGGTCGTGATGATGGATGAGTTAATATAAATGCAGGAGTTACCACAATCATGTGTTGGCATCTAGTGTACTGATCCTGTGGCTCTGAAGAGGTGAAGTCGAGGTTATTTTAACTTGCTTGAACTGCTTGCTTTTGTGTTTGTGGTCTTTCTCTTTATCATATTATATAGATTAAATATGCGATTTATGTAAATTAGTTTGCAAGCCCATCCAGCATAGGGATTCAGTGGTCACTGAACTCAGATTTGGGGATTTTGGCAGTGTTTGCTGACCAAAATTATTATCAAGTCTTTGTTTAATACCTGAATATGCTCATTATTTTGTTGTTTTTTTTGCATATGATTTATCAAAGAAAGAAATTGTAACCAAGGTAATCAAAGTGCCTAGTAAGACTCTATAAGCCCCTCAGGTGTTCTAAGCATGACTTCTTAATTTTTTAAGCGTGTGTACTAAATAATGTTGCACTCATAACGTTACCAATATTGGGTGGGGCCCGATACTGAACTAAAATGGTGGTATCGGTATCGCTGAGTACCGACAGATAGGGCACCAATACCAATTTGAGAGCCAAAGGTGTATTCAACTATTTTCACCCATTCCAGGTAGGCAATAAAAAGTTCTACTGGATCCACTAGTCTTTTTTACCCATAGAAACCAGCATCTCAGATCTTTTATTGCAAATATAATTTAAAAAAATCCTTTAATCTGAAAAGTGAAATATGAATTACTGATTAAAACTCCAGTTCTTGTTTTTTTTTTTTTTTCCTCTTCTTGAACCAACGTAGCATATTTCTGACATGTTCACATAAATAGTATAATGGAGGTTTTCCCATATCTTGAATATGTTTCTATGGCTCTATAGCCACAGTCAGTGCCTTCTGAATCTCACTTAAACCCTCAAATTAAAATAAATATATTTTTTTTCTAAATCTAGAGTCAGTTCAGAATGAATTGCATCTCAAAAAGCTTCTTAATTCTTTATCTTTCTAATTTGATCCTAGCTTTTAAACAATGCAATCAAGTTTTGCAATGTTTAAAACGTTTATCATGCAGTATCACCAACTGTTCATTAGGGTCCCAAATAGCATATACCAACTGATATGGTTTCCTGATTATTAGACGGAGGCTTTGGTGATAATCTCTGTTGTTTCTATGTCTTTTCCTGCCACATTATTTCACTGTAAAGATTGATGAAAAAATGAAATATAATAATTTCCAATATTATAGGTGGATGCAGCACTCTGTGAACAGCCACCTTCTTCAGCTATGACCTTGAGTGACCTTACCTGCCTCCTTGTGGAGGATGTCAATAACTGTCTGCTGGACAGCTGTCAAGTTAGCAGGCCTCCGCATGATTGTCTAGCCATAGACATATGATGGCATCAACTTATTATTTTTGCATTAAAAATGACGCCATACTATTCAGACTCTTGAGTTCCACAGTCATGGGATTATTGAGATATACTTGTATAACCAATTTAATCAGTTACTAACTACTGAGAACTGGATGTGAAATAAAGTGTTCTGACTGTGTAGTATTCCCAGTATTACTCTCCTCTGGTCACAACTCTTGTTGAAAAGGTTTTTTTTAATCCTTGGGGGAGGGGAAGACATTGCTATTATACACTGATGGAATATTAGAAGTGTTGATATACTGTTTTGCCAAGATAAATAAAATGTTCACTTAATACTTTTCCACTTCTATTTAATATTGTTAAAGTTTTCTTATCTTGTATTATTTCAGCCCTGTTTCATACCTCCAAGCTTCTCTAGCTCTCTGCCACAGCATAGTGCCTCCTCCTCAGGCACATCACCAGTCAGACCCCCCTCTCCAAGCTGGACTCTGGTTCACTGCAAAACAAATTTTTAATTCAGCCATTTATAAGTGTCCTGCTGCACCCTCAGCTCCCCTTCAAAATATCTTTCATCTACCTGCATCCTTTGGGACCATTTTCTCCACTCCTCCTGCCCACCTAAAAGGGCCACCTCTGGAAAAACCTGCCAAGGAAAGTGTAGGGAGAAGAAAGGGCTGGCAGGAGCGAGCTCATGGGTCTGCAACATAAGGCTCCAGAGCTGTGCACTTCGGATCATCTACAATTTTTAGGTTCTCTTGGGTTTTGAAGTTTTTTGGGTGGTACTGAGCTTCCTGTCACAGAGAGGATGTTTGCTGGTGGCTAGACCGAACCATGTTGCTGCACACCTTTCTCACTCAAGATGACTAGTGCGTACATAAGGAGGCTAAGGATCATCTCTCTTCGCTGGATGATTACCCCTGATGACAACCAGTGAACCTCAGTTTGTCTCTGATCTTCATGGAAAAGGTCTTACCTGCATGCAGCAGTTGTCAGTCTTCATCGCCTGCCCGCTCTCCAGCACAACGCCTCTTGCAGGTACCAATGTTCTCAGATCTCACTCACATTCTCCTGGACCTCTGGGCTACAGTCTGCCACTCCGGCTGAATCGAACCCTTACAAATCCATGCTACCTCAACAGTTGGTAAGGAATACACTTTTTATTTAGAAAAGAACAGTCCTTTAACTTTTGTAACAAGCACATCATTATGACAAAATAACACAAACACATTTCACTGATGTTGTAATTTTTCTAATACATTTTCACTTGTTCCGTAATTATCTGTCCTCGCTTGGTGAAGGGAGCCTCCAAACTCTCTGTCTGAAAGCTGCCCCAGCAAAGAACACGCGCGGTCCTGTGAGTGACGGACAGGGCTTGATCCCACTGGGTCATTTTGTCTTGTAGAGATCTGCTGGCTCTTCTTAAGCTCTGTGGACGGTGAGGATGTCAGAGAGCTGAAGGCTGTGTGATACTGAAGTTGTCCACTGGGACTTGTGGAAGAATGAATTTGTGTCTGGGGACTGCCAAGATTTTGTGAGCCTGTTAGAAAATTCCTTGGAAGATGAGAATGACCACAATTTATTGTAGAACATACTGGATTAGTGTTATCTTTTGAGGGGTTAGATGTATTGTAGACACCTTGTTGGCTCTGGCAGATCACTGGGAAGTTGCTGAAAGCTGAGTTAATGCCAAGGAGGGATGAACCAACAAGGTTTTGAGGATGGGTTGCATAAGGGGAGCTGGGGGTGACTGTGGGTATTTGAAATGGACTATACTGGCTCTGCAGCCTATCAGCTGTTCCATCTCGGTCAGAGCAGCATACATGCAAGGCGGACACAGAGCTTGAAGAATGCAGCAAAGTTGGAGCTCTGCTGTGTGACTGCATTCCACCGCAGTCCCATGCATTTCTACCTGGGTAGCTAATCGTTTCATGACGTAGGTGTAGCTCATTAGATGAATCTAAAGAAACATGAGGCTGCCAGTTGCTGGAACTTGTGGACCCAGAAGGAGAGACATGATGAAGCATGGGCATATTTGACTGCAGGAAATGCATTATGTCATGGAGCTCCTTCACCAGATTGGAGACTTCCTCATTTAAGGTGTTTACCTAAAGAAACAAAGACAATTCAGACATTGAGTAAAAGCTAAACCCTGGTTAAACGATAAACCTGTTTGGTTTAAAAAACACTTTTAAAGTTTTTATCAAGTTTTGCTTTAATTTTTAGTCTACCAATATAATAGGTTGACTAGGGACTCTGAATTGAGTGTGTGGATGTGCTTGGTTTTATGTCTACGTGTTGCCCTGTGATTATGATTGGCTGGCGACTTCATGTGGTTGTACGCTAGCTTTCACCCTATAGGGCAGATTAGACCTCTGTACCCGCACACATCAAAAGTCGCTTGGGTCTGGCCGCAAACCAGTTTTGCTGCTATGCTTCTGCACCGTCGGTCTGGAATTTCTAGGGACGCACAGCAGTTTCCCACCAAAGTGCAAGGGGGAGCCTAGTTGAGAACTCACAAGAACTTCGGCAGATGGTCACAACAACTTCACTTTGGCAGAGACCTTTCCATTTGTCTGAGGCATCGTACAAGTGGTTGTAGTTCCAAACCTCCTCGATCAACCTTTCGTTGTAGTTGTCCATTGTAGTTGTTCCTCGGTTTTTAAAAATGGTGCGCCCCGGCACCGAATCGAGAAGGACAACCACACAGACAGCCAGAAAGACATACCAAGGACTAATGACAGCTGCTTTTTGTCAGCGCGGGTTTTGCGACCATCCAACGCATAGTCAGGATTTTCTAGAGGTGCACGACGACGGTTGCAGAACCTCTGCGCGGAGGGCGAGGTCGTGCACAATGTGACTGATGTGACGCTTGCAGAGGCTATGTGTCAGAAGCATAAATTGGCCTTAAGACTTCTGAAGATAGGCAGTAGCCCCTGTGACCCTGAAAGATAAGTGGCAGAAGATGGACGGATAGATGGATAGAGGGTTCAGTTCTGGTCAAATTTTACCACACTTTTTTTCAAGAATTTTGTCTGTCATATTAATATCCAAACAGAATTTGTGAAAGTTCTTTTTTCTACATTGTGACAAAATGTAGAAAGGTTTAAGGGTCAATAATACTTCAGTTGGACACTGTATATTATGTCTTTGAGGCCAAAACAGAGTGGGCAATATATGTTTATATATTTATAAAGGGTGACAAACTATGGGTGAGTTGTTTTTTTTTTATCATAGGTAGAAACAGGAATTTCCAAGTCCTTCTTCAAATCAATTGAAAAAAATAAAGTGTTTTACTTAGGAAAGTCATAAGGTGGGAAGATTTAATGAAACCTTCAACAAGTTTGTATAACCTGGACTACATTATAAAATACCTTAGACCATGGTGTTAAATCAATTATCAAATAGCAGCACATACTCAAACATTTCAATTAATTAATAATTAGTTGTTTCTACCAAAGCACTTTAGCTTTAAAATTATCCAAATAGACATAATGGGAACAAAGCACTAAGCTCCTATAGACAAGAACTGCTAAACCGGCATAATATATAAAGTTATAAAGATTGCATTTAGATTCTGATTACATTTGAGAATAGTATTGCATTTATAGTAGAGAAGAGACAGTGCTTCATGTGTTAGTTTTATTCTCACCTCTTTATTTAATTGGGTCATGTTCCGTTTCATGTCTTCTGTCTCAGTTAACAGGTTTCCATTCATCTGTAATTCTTCTAAAAAAAGATATAAAGGAAAATGTTTAATAACCTGGGATCATTGCCTTTAAAACCTACAATGCACTTTAATCTGGATGTAACTGGGAGGTTTAAATATTGGCAGAAATTAATACAAGAAGTAACATTCATAAAAACTCTCACATCTCATCCTCATGTTACTCTTTTCATTAAACTGCTTTAAACATTTCCTACTATAAATAAAATCTCAGTCAGTGTGTTTTAAAGTTTACCTGACACATTTGTTTGCCTCTTATCCTGCTCTATATTGAAAGGAAATGTGGAGCTGTTGTCTTCGATTCCATCCACAACTCTGCCGAGGAAACAAATGGATGTTACATCATTTCAAAAAGTGCAAAAAGGATGTGTAAAAATAGAGTGAAATAAATTACCTTGGGCTCAGGTTTAAAGGGCTAGCACAAGACAAAGAAGGAAGCATTAACTTGGACGGCCAATGACTTAAAACTGATTCTTTTTTGAGGCTGAGAGAATGGGATGGGGAGAACTCGTTAAAGGATTGAGGAGAGACGATGCAGCCTTGGCGTTGAGGAGCAGGCGACCGAAATGGATGGATGTGTTGCAGCTCCTGCCCTAAAGTACTGAGACGGGAACTTTGAACAGGACTGCCAGAACCTTGTAGCAGAGGTGCTCTGCTCCGCCACGAATGTTTGATGTCATCCGCTTGTTCTTCATCATCTGTCTCAATGACGTAGGGTAATTTGTTATCCAAAGAGAGGTGAGCCTGCAGACAGATGGAAACTCAGTAAAATTCACTGCAGTTTTTTTTATTATTTATTTCCAATATCTGATTTAGCTTATTAGATAGTTTAAAATTTTATTAAATCCATCATTTGCAAACAGGCTTTTTTGCTATTTTGGAACCAGAGGTGTCCCAAAAATAGTATTCATACCCATTGTATTTCTTTCTAACACTGTGTTTTACTCAAAACTTATTTTACAGATATTTTATTTGAGAGATAATCACAAAGCAGTTAGTAGAAGTAATATGTTACAAATTGTCACCATTAGTGGATAGTTTTTGAGGAGCTAAATGCAGAGCTGAAGAGGCAGAGATGATTTCTTGCAAAAAATTAAAGAGGAAGTAAATACAGAACCGATTGACAAAATACTCAGGAACATGAAACTAGGCGACATTAGGGAGGAATAAACTTAATGAATGAAGAAGAGACGAGAATCCAGTCACTGCAGAGGAGGACTGTATATGCCAAACAGAACAATGAATGGATTTAATCAACTAACTGGGACAGTCAGTTGATTAAACAGTCAGCAGGTGTGGACAGAAGGAGCTAGAGGGGAGCTAAGGGAAGTGGACTTGCTCAAGGGGGCAACAGAGGGTAACCAAGACACAGTGCTCAAATACAACCAGAAGACAACTAGAATGAAACCAAATGGAAATGAAATCAAAAGAGATAATTCAAAGTATAACTGAAAAAAAAAAACTTAAACAAAACCAAAAAGTTAAGAAAAGGCAGAATGATGACACACATTATTGTTTCATAATTTACCAAAAAAAATGAAAATCTGAAAAAAAAATTTCAATCAAAATTTTATAGAGCCATTTATCATAACATTTTTTTAATACTTTTGCTTTGCACATCTATAAACAGAGAGTCATGTGGTTACAGGAGGTCTTTGAACAAAGACAGTATGAGGCGGTGGTCAGTATTTTGGACTGCTTTCACCTTCATACCAGTTTAGACCAGTTACACTGCCCTCGTTAGAGAAAAGCATCCCAAACAGGTTGATGTTACAACTCATTGCTTCATTTTAGTGTCGAAGTTTTGTTTTTAGAGAAATCTGTAGGCTAGAAAGCTAAAAGCTTGGTCTCATCTAACACAATACTTTCCCCCATATGTTTGTAAACTGCAAAAATAACTGTTCATCTTTTTTTTTTTTTTTTTTTTACTTCATATCCTTCTTCCATAAAGTTCATATTTGTAAATTGGTCAGACATATACTTTTCATTTAGACAGATTCTTGCTCTACAGCTGTGGATCTCAAACTCTTTGTGCTAAAAAGCGCTAAACATGAACAGTAATGCTGCATTTGAGCTGAGATATCATTACAACCAGAGAACTCCTGTTTACTAATCAAGTGATATCTCATCATGCAGGATGGGCGTAAAAGGTCTGGATACGGATGCAATACACATGTTTTTAGGTATTCTATCTTAGAAAAATCCTTGAAAGTAATGAATACTTTTTTCTTCAAAATAAAAATAATGTCTTACTTTTTAGTCTTATTAAGTTTTTTAGTCATAAATTTTTTTATATTGTTCCATCAAAGACTAAGGCCTCTGTTTTTTTTATAGAAGTGCTATATATATGATGCTAAATAAACCTCAATTATTGCGTTTAATTTTAGTGCAGATGTCTGTAAACACTCAAATAAAAGCAATGGAATTTTTCTATGTTTACTAGACCAGTGGAATGATTTGCAAACATATACTTATGTCATGATATTACAATTTAAAGACAGCCTTTACATTATGGAAGAGATAAACTGTGTCGATGAGCTTATATGTTTATCTTCATGGCAAACATGACCAAACAATGAGAATAAAAATATCCAAAATACCCAATGTACAATGAGTGCATCTGGGAGCTTCTGTATAATGAAATAATCCCTTTATTGTTTCAGTCCCTGCCCTCTGAAAGGTTTCAAATATCTGTTTTGTACTATGCTTTTTTGCTTTTTTATTTTTATTTTTTTTGCCATAAATAGCATGAGGCTCACTATCTTTTTATTTTACAGTGGAAATATATGTCTGCAAAGTAAATTATAGAAGTCCTGCAAACAGAAATTAGATTAGAAAAACAAAAATTACTGTAGACCCACACAAAAACAAAATACACATTAAAAAGAAAAATGTTGCAAAGAAGAAAAGCTGTAATCACAGATAAAATAGACATGTCTTGAATACACAAAACCCAAGGCAAATACATAATGATGCAAAAAAAAAAAAAAAAACACATGCAAAGGACAAAATGCTGCAAAAAGAAAATACAAATTTAGTACTGCAGATATTAAGACCAGTAGAGGGAGACAATGATCAATTCGTATTGGACCAGAACAAAGGCATTACTACAAATTCCCATTAAAGCATGAGACACTTTGCAAAAACATAAATGGGACGCTGAGATCTGTAAGGAAGAAAGAAAAGGTGAGTTTATCTTTGAATCTTATTATGCTTTTTCTAAGAGTTCCATATGAGTTAGTGATAGTCTTCTTTGAAAGGTGTGGAAGGACTCTATTGTGTTTAGTTTGCAGCTTTTCTTAGCTTTGGTTAGGAGTAAGATATTTCTTCTTTGCAGGATTAAAATTTTGCATGTTTATGTGTTAGTCTTATTTTTGTCTTTGCTAGTCCATTTTTTAAAGTTTGCTAATCGTAATTTTCTTTTCACAGGACTTTTTAAATTTGCAGTAAAATCACTGTTTTGCACAGCTTCTGCCACCGTACATCATCCATAGAAAGACACACATACCAGAGTTTGCCTCGGAGTCCTTGGAAATCTCTTTACTGCCTATGGATACAATAAAGACAACTCCGTATTAGTGAAATTGTTTTTAAAGCATTATAATACATATAAAGTACATACTCCCCAGCCACATCATTAGGTACAACTTTTCAGTTGATTGTTAAAATACACAGCTAGTCAGCCAGTTACAAAGAAGCCAATCAAAGCAATTGGGCATGTAGATGTTGTTAGTTATTAGGACAGACAAGGCATTCTAAGTATTTTAAGAAATGCAACCATCTCATGTTTATATTGAATGTTTCATAAGGAGTTTTGTGGATAAGCTGTCTTATTAATGTAATGGGATTATTGGAGAGTCTAGGATCTACCATCTTTGAAGCTTTGAAATTTGGAACGTTGGACTATATTTGGAAATAATAGTAGGAAATGTAACATGATGATGGAAAGTAGGTATTTTATATCCCCTTAAAAGACAAAATTAAGGAGGAGATAAATCACCTCTTTAAATTGTTGAGTACAAATACAAAACTGTGTTCTGTTTTTCATTCACAGTTTTACTCCAATTGATCTACAAAATAGAGCAAAACAAATTCCAACACTTGTATTAAAATCTTCCTACATTTTTTTGTTTATCTTTTTTTTTTTTCCTTAACACAACTATAAATATCACACTGGAGTAGATTAAAAATAATATTTCATTTATAGTTCACATGGCTGTGCAGCAGAGGGCGCTGTCTGTTCTGTCAATTTCCATCAAACGAATATACATAAAGGGCCCACTGCCATGCTTCCTTCAAAGGAAGCTTCTTTCTGATCCTGCCTAGGCAGACTTTCAATCCCTCAAAGGAAACATGGCAGTGAGCCCTATCTGTACTGCTGACAGCAGACTGACCAATCAGGCAGTGACCCTCTGTTCTACAGCTATGTGATGTACCCTAAAGTCACAGATTTGAGCATATCTATTCACTGATTTGCAGTTGTATTAAAGAAAAAAAGATTTAAAAAGTTGAAGGATTTTATTATGTGTTTCAATTTGTTTCCCATAATTTTTTTAGATCAACTGGAGCAAAACAGTATGCAACAAATTTTTTATATGTGACTCGCATGGCACAATTAGTATCATTGTAATCAAGAATTTGAAAATATGTAATTGTGAAAAGATATAAAAAAATCGACAAATACAAAACTCGGAAGTTATAATGCACAAATAGTTTGGTTTTTGAGCAGAGTTAAAAATTTAAGTGGTTTTAGATTTGTGACAGAAACACAGTTCAGTTTGTGTACCTGTACTCAACAATATGAGGAGGTGTAATTATGTTTTTTTATTGCAAAACTTAGAAAAAAGACCTACAGGTAGAGGATGTCTATTGTGTACCTCTTTGCAACTTTAAATGTGCAGTTATACAGTTTTAGTGCACAGATACTCATGATTCAACATGACCTTCATAGACCTTTTTACTGCTTATCTATACACATTGGACACAGACTTAGAAAACAGGTGATTACTTGGTGTTCTCAGGCATAACTCATTGTTGTAAGTCTGGCAAAAGCTTGTTTATGGTTTGTTTTTCTAGAAAGTATTTAATAAATATTACCGATGCTCTAATCAATGTTAATAAAAAGTTTGGAATGACTAAAACAATCAAATGTGTTTTTAGGATACGACCATTCACCAAAGATTCAAGAAAATCAACTTTATGGTTTCTAAGATTCTCTGAGTCTTAAAGCTTATGTTCATTAGATGATCAAAACAATTAGATAAAGGTTTTTCTAAATAACTCACAAGCTTAATGATCTTCAGTTAAATAATTTTTTCGTCTTTTAGATACTTTTAAAAATATTAAAGAAAAAACAAAAAAAGTATATTTTTTGTACAAACTTCCTTGTTTGATTTATATCAATTTAGAGCAAATTTTTTTAATTACTTAAACACAACATTGATGTTTTTGGTCTCTATCAATTTTTCTTATAAAAAGTATATTGTGTATATTTTCTTTAAAGAGGGGAGATAGAGGGATATTTTAACTTCTTCACTCCCTCTTTGAAGGAGATAAAAGCCATGCCTCCTATGCAGTGCAGCAGTGTTGCTGCCCACCGAATGACAGCTCCCTCCACATGTGCATTTGTTATTATGCGCTGTAGGATCAGCAACTAATTTTTTAGCTCTGGAGGCCAGAAAAGGGACCAGAGTAAAAGCTATAGCTGAGCTCCTCTCTGGTTCAGAGTATAGCGGTATGAACACCGTAGCAGCTCCACAGAATCTGTCACACTGAGGGCCGACAGGGACATGAAGGCTGATATGGAGGAGGGACCCCTGATTGAACTTTGCCTGGGGCCCCTAAATTGCAAACTCCACTGTTCACATCATTGACTTTGTTCTAGTACTGAATTTCCCCCTATTTGGCTCCAGAACGGCTTTTTTTCTTTTTGTCAGATGTTCAACAAAGTGCACCTTATGAAGTAGCCAGGGATATTATTCCTTATGTTCAGTAAAATAATCTCTTAGTAAAATAATCTCTTAGATGAATTATGCAGTTCCACAAAATCCTTTGTCTTACATGAGGCTCACTGCCCTCTCTCAGGTTGTAGGTAAGGTTGTGGTGGATGTCAGAGCTGAAGCGACTGCCGTACTCTGGATACAACCTGAGGACCTCCCTCAAAGCCTTAACACTGATGTACTGCAAGTCACAGTAGGTAAGAGCCTTCACATCTGCATTTGTCTTGATCACCTGATCATGCTCTGGCAGGTCAGCCCCTATCAGGTCACCTTTTCCTGTAATGATGGTTAGATGGAGGAGTTGCAAAAAAATGCTAGAATAAACAGAAAACTGAAACGTTTCAGGCTTTTTTCACACTCACCCAGAATAGCTTGGACCATACCATCTTTCAAGACTTCAAGAGAACCGGAACAAACAAAATAATTGGCGTGCAGGGCATCTCCATGGCGGATGAGGTACTCCCCTGGTGCACAGAAGGAAGTCTTGATGTGCAGGGAGAGAGAACGCAGACACCCTCTGCTGGCTCTCTCAAACACAGGCAGCTGCAGGATGTCTTTATTCAGATGCATGGCAATATCTGCTCGCAGTTCATCTGGGAAGTCATGCAACAGCTAAGAGCAAATGAGGAAGAAAA